ATGGCCTCCCATTGCTTCTAGTGGTGCCAGAAAGCCTGCGCCAGGTCGTCCTTCGTTCTGCGCACGATGACATAACATCCGGTCATCTCGGTTTCACACGTACGCTACATCGACTACGTGAGAGGTTCTACTGGCCGAAAATGTGGAAGACCACAAAACAGTACGTCACCAGCTGCGCTATATGTCAGCGCCACAAGCGATCCACCACTGCCCCGGCAGGTTATTTGCAGCCCATCCCTCCACCGACATCCCCTTTTGAAAAAGTCGGCATCGACTTGCTCGGACCCCTTCCTAAGACCTCATCGGGCCACCGATATGTTATAGTGTGCGTCGATTATTTAACGCGTTATACGGAAACGGACGCACTGACATCGGCCACAGCAGCCGCTGTTTCTTCTTTTCTGTTACAACGGGTCATACTGCGTCACGGTGCTCCACGAGTTGTCATCAGTGACCGTGGACGACAATTTATGGCCGATGTGGTTGAAGAAATTTTGCGCTTCTGTGGCTCCTCTTATCGCCACTCCACCCCTTACCATCCGCAAACTAACGGTCTCACTGAGAGAACAAATCGAACTCTCACGAATATGCTATCGATGTACGTTGATGCTGACCACAGGAACTGGGACGCCGTCTTACCGTTTGTTACTTACGCGTATAACACCGCCAAGCATGAAGTGACTGGACATTCGCCCTTCTTTCTGCTTTACGCACGAAATCCACAGAGTTTTCTGGACACTCTATTACCTTTCTCGGCTCAGGAAGATCTGTCCATCGCTCAGACGTTGTGTCGCACTGAAGAAGCACGTCAACTAGCGCGCCTTCAAACATTGTCTTCACAAGAACACAGCAAGAGTCGCTATGATGCCAAGCATATCCCCGTAGAGTTTTCTCCTGGTGACTACGTGTGGCTGTGGACTCCTGTTCGTAGAAAAGGATTGTACCGGAAGTTTCTAGCAAACTATTCCGGCCCATTCGTGATAGTCACTCGTCTCAGTGACGTGAATTACGTTGTCGCCCGAGTCACAGCCAATAACCGGCGTTCGCGCACTACGCAAATTGTTCACGTAGCCCGCCTCAAACAGTACCATCATAGGCCTATTTAACTCGCTCGGCGAGCTTCGTCTGCCGCCGGAGGAAATGAAACGACGATGGGCGAGCCAACGGGGCGCGGAAGAAGAAGAAGAGTAGTGGAGCGGCGCCTGGACTGTGTGGTTGGGCGGAAGCGTTCTAGGCCTGTCTCAGAAGTGCGCTGCTATTTCACAACGCCATTTCACCTCATCTGTAAATAAACACAGTCACTCGTAACAATATCCAGCCTGACTAAAGTCTCCTGCTTCCTCAAAGTGTAAATAATTCAAACATGCGCATTCTTGCGCGGCAACAACGTGGCGAACTTCTCCACCCAAAGGTCGCGGCTAACACCCTCATTACAGCAGACAACCTCAAAATCACCAAGAAAATGCGCAATGTTCTTGCCTGTCTGAAAGTTGTGGAGCTGGCGTTTCGCTTGATGCCACTTAAGTGCTTGAATTTTAAGATGAAGCTCTCTCATTCAGAAAGCATGCTCTCTCCTTTTTCGACTCTCCTCGGCCTCCCACTGTTCGCGTCTTTGAGCTTCGAGCTCTTCGTGACTCTTCTCGGCCTTCTGCTTTTGCTCACTAATTAGCTCCCAAAACTCGTCAGCTTCCTTGGCTGTCACATTCTCTGCCCGCATCACCTCGAGAATCGCTTCCCTTGTTTTAGCGGACCCGGCAGAAATCCCCATGGCTCCACAAATTTCGAGGAGGTCCTCCACAAGGTACTGCTCCATCGCGATCTCTTTCCTCGTGATGGTCTACTACTGATATTTACCGTACTCTAAAACTAATCTCATGGTTTAAAGTACGTGATATTAAATTATAACCAACAAAACACAAAACACTCAAAACATCTGCCTATGCTAGAGAGGTCTGGCAAGATGAACAGTAAGCGTTGGGCGCTCACACAACCAAAGTAGCCGACGATGGTCCAACTCCTCGATGCCGTCGAACAGTGTCGTAGGTGTCCTCGGGCCTGCACAGGAATCCACTCCAACTCCGAGCAGTTGAGATCGAGGTAGCGGGTTCCACAGCAGTGAAACGTTGAGGACTGGGGTATCGTATTCAAACGTTGAGGACTGGAGTAGCGTATGCTCGAGCTTCCATGGGTCCGATCCGGCGTGCTAAACGTAGGGTAGCGTATCTCAGCATACCCAAACGCTATCACGGTGGTAGTCCTCGTGCTCGGAGATCCGATCAGACTTGCCAAACGTAAGGTATCGTATCCTGAAACTGTCAACCACTGTTATGAACTCTGGTTTGATGGTATCGTACCGCTGCCACCACTGTTAGGATAGTGGGTTTGATGGCATCCCACCGCTGTCACCACTGTTAGGAATTCGGGTTGTTGCAATGGTAGCGGTTGCCTAAAGTGGTGAGCAGTCGAACGGACTTCGCTGAAGCCTTCGCCTGGAGGCGGAACAGGGAGAGAATCAGTTTTGAAAACAGCAACAAGGAGGAGCGTTTACTCGCTCCTCCTTTACTCTTGCTTTACTCGCTCTTTCTCGCTCGTTCTCCTCCTTGGTCGGCACGACATCGTCTGCCGGAGCAAAATTCTCTAAACATGGGGCCGGCACGGCCTTAAATAACGTTTTGGTCTCTTCTACGAGACCAGTTCCCGGTGCTTGGAGGAGAAGGTGAAGCTTTCCCCGCAACGGCACGGTGGCTCGGCGGAGAAGGCGACGCTTTGCCCGGAACTGCACGGTGCCGCCTTCTGCTTGGAAGGGGGCGCTGGGAGGTGGGGAGAGTTCACCTGAACTGCGCTCGTTCTCGTGGAAAGAAGTGCTTTCGAACAAGGATCATGCCTGTGGCATAACAGCATGAAAATAGTACGTCAACTTTTCTTAGTTCGTTTGCACTGACAAATTAACCGAGGCATCCTCAATATCATTGAAAGTTTTCAAATAAGCAATTCCAGCACTGTGCATTGTGCCTCAACAGTGATGAATGATGCCAGTGAGAGCTCTGAACTACGGTAAAAGGTTGTTCAGCACTGGCTTTGACAATTTCATCATTGCTTAGGTGCACTTGTGTGGTATGGGCAACATCAGCCATGATCTCTTTACGTTGCCATTTACATCGCCGGTTGCGTCGTCATTTGTACTAATCAAGTCGCTTGCTGTACTCCTGTCTGAGAGGGTGCCTGGAAATGTCAAGTCGTAAAGTTTACTGAGGCACCGTGCACAATTGTCAGAATTAAGAATGCATCCAAAATCGTCACTTGGCACGAAAGTCTGCGAGGAAGCAGTACATCATGGAGCTTTGCTTGATGTCTTTCTGAGCACCCATCGCCATTTTTATCCCTACGAGCAGGTCATTGTTTATTGACACCTGAATGAGAACCAGTGAGAAAGGAAGAAGTACATAAGTCATCACAAGCCACGAGAGACAACGCTGCCTCCAATCAACATAGGAACAACACCCCATCATTGATAATTTGGCAATGGTCATGGTACTTATGGCTTTATAGAAGGCAGCCGCTACTTTGCTGGGAAAAGCAGGATAAAGCTTAGCCTTCTTGATATGGATTTGATTACCGAGAACGCCGAAATTAGGTCACAATGTTGCAGACCTCGACAGCCATTCTTTTGGGGCCCGCATCACATTATGCATGCACACTCTAGGAAGGGAACGTTAACATTGTGACGAGGCCACCAAGTTGCTATGCATTCATCTCGCTTTGGTGCCCTCTGCTATCAGCGCCCGTGAAAAAATGCTACAACCTACAGATCACACATCAAACAAGCCAGTGCACTCACAAGCGCTGCTGGACTAACCAGGTCAATGCAACGGAATAACAAGGCCTTTTCATCACCAGGGCACGAAGAGAAGTCGGAATTTGTTAGAAAGTAGCCAAAAAAGGATCAATAAGTGTTAAAGAAAATGCACTATTCGGCTTGGGTGCAGCACAGTATTTGATATATAGAATGTTTTGCTGTGTGGAAATTCAACATACTCGTGCATGCCCATAAAACTGCGTTGAAAATTCAAGGGATTTCCTAAATGTTTGATATAGCTAGTAATTCGATATATCTGAGTTTGATATATCCGGGATCGACTGTATTTAGCTGCCGACTAAGGGAGCCTATATTGTTATGTTTATTCCCCACTCCTTTTTTAGCCTGTTTCACACACTTCACTTGATAACTTGTTAATGCAAAATGGCACGGAATACGTGCTGAATGGGGCGAGAAAATGCTCTCAATCAAAAGACAATGCATCTACAAAGAACCTTTTTGTGGGGAGTACAATCTCATGTAATTTATCATCTGCTCTCATTTGCTGCTTTCAATGCGTCCACTATTTTTGCACTGTTTGTTACATCTGGGATAATGTTACCGCCATCTGAGCGGCTGTAACTGACACCAACAACTGGGCAAATAATATTAACCTGGAATTACCAGAGGCGAAAAACTTCTATATGCACTGCTTTCGTATTGCCTGTAAGGAATGGGGATGATCTGATTGTTGGAATGCCTTGCGCATCCTGTTAGCTCACCGCATGCTGAAACATTTTTGTCTGAGGCCAGCCTTGAACTTGTTGCCTTGAAGGCCGCACTATTAAGTTTGATTATATGTGTAACTTTCGCATTAATCTCGAGGTCCTTAATATTGTCTTTCCCAGGTTTTATTTTGAATACTTCTTTGAAGGCTTTTTGGCAATAGCCAAGAGCCTCATTAAGTTTAAGATTGATCTTTGTAGAGGCCAGTGTAGCCATTTCTAAGGTTTAAGATGACATAAAAAAACCAAACAAAAAAGAAAACAGTGTTAACCTATTGCTAAAGATGAAAACAATCCAGCATGCCCTTCTTTGCTTACAATTGTAAAGCTTTCCAAATATCACCATTGGCATACTGATGATTGACTATGTCTTGGGGAAATCAAAAATAAAAATTTCCGTTTTACTTTTTTTTTTTCAGTGGTGACTTGGAAGCAATTGAACGCATCGCGTATGAGCTATGCGAAGATCAGGCACGAGAAGGTGTCGCATACTTTGAGGCACGCTACTCACCGCACCTGCTGGCCTCAAAGGACAAGGGTGTGACAGCGGCGCTGGTCATCAAAGCGGTTAGCCGGGGCCTTGAAAGGGGAGAGCAAGACTTCGGTGTCAAGGCTCGGTCTATACTGGTCTCTGTCTGGGGAAATGACGGTAATATTGACTGTTTTTGGTGCTTAATCAGTGGATTTTGTGGTCTGTTTGCTTATTTTGACATCACTTTACAATTCAAGTTTTTCTCTTTTTTTTTGTGTGAGAAAGTCAGCATGCTCTCCTGATAAAGATTTTCAAAAATTTTAGGGGAAATCTAGTGCATTAAATAAAAGGGGGCGACCCAATTCCCTCGAGAGCAGTTTTGTTTATCAAGGCTACAGTCTTGATTGCAGAAATTTTCTAAATTAACAAAGAAGTGGAGGTGTACTTGTACAATCCCAAATTCACCAAAGTGACTGACAACCTGTGTCAATTTTTTTCGTTAACCACGTGAAGGGAAAGTAGGAGGCCCAAGTGTCTGCACAGTGATGGCAGATAATGTGAATTGCCAATGAATTTTCTGTGTTATGCTCACAGAGTATAGGTGCGATTCAAATCATTGCTCAAGGAGGGCCAAGCTGTCAGCTAGCATAGGCGCAGATGGAAAGTGAGAACGCATGACCTGTGCTGGTTTCATCGGAACACTTGAATTCAGCCGCACTGAAATGTATGTCAGGCCATAATTCCTGTATTCACTCGTATTTACTCGAATCTAGGCCGACCCCGATTGTAAGCCAACCCCCCAAAAGTTGGAAGCCAGAAAAAAAAAAGCTTTGTTTTAATGTAGGCCGAAAGAAGCAGCGAAGAGAGCGTGTACAAAGAGAAAACGTATTGAACATGAAGATGACACAAAGAAGTTGGTTCATGATGCAAATAACTCAAGAAACATACAGCCTCAAGTCCTGTTGCATGTGTTTCTCTGTCGTCGCTTTTTTTCCTCTGCTTCTTGTTATTTGCATCATGAAGGTGCCGCACTTGCCGATGCCGCGCCCATTCTGAGTCATCGTCGCTGACTTCTTTGTCGCTCTCTTCAAACAGTGCGCAATCCTCGGTGCCATCAAGCACACTGGATATGCCGCACTTCTTAAAAGAGTGCACAGTCAATGTTCCCAGCTTGTCATCTCACGCTGCACACCCTCCAGCGATGCATTTTTCTTTGTTCACTTTAAAGTCCCGCCCGGCTTGAACGTTGACGACGACTCCCTGGCTAAGACAACTTTCCTATTGTAAGCGGCATTATGATGACATCGCCTGTTTGGCGCCGTTGAGCTATGCTAGATACAGACCACTCGAAGCGTGACTTGAAATGACCAACAACTCGCTTCAACACTCGCCACAAGGATCAAAATGGTGGCCTCACGTGTGTGCTTAAGCCAAGTGTCGGCTCGGCTACTAATGGCTATAACACCGTCTAGGTAGCGCTAGTTGCGCACCACTTTTCCTAATAAAAAGTGGCGTGTGTTTCAAAATTTACGAATACAAGCCTACTCTGGAGTTTATGCAAAGAAATTAAAAAAAAAAAAAACTATCGACCTACATTCGAACAAAACTGTAGGAAGTACTAAATGCTCACCTCCTCATTTGTCACCATGGCATGAAAAGTAATATTTCAGCTTCATTACTGTGCATCAACGATGTATTACGATATGCTTTGCGTCCTACCGAAAACAGCGTGAACTGGAATCGATGTATGAAACGAACAAGAACCTTACGAGCGTGCCTGTCTGATTTGCTGCAGTAATAGGCCTCTTGAGAGTAGCCTTACTGCTGCACAGGCCCGTGCATGGTTATTGCGATATTGGTTTTGAGTTTGTTGTGCGGCCATCATTACTTGTACGATTAGGAATTCAGAGTGAATGAACGCAAGTGTTCGGAATCCTAGCTCAATGACACTTGGGTCACAGTCTAGTAATCAGTCATGGTCAGGCTATAGAAGTGCATAGTTCTATTTTATTTTATGTTACAGGTTTGATCAGCACATCTAGAAATGAATCTCGTAAAGAATGCACTGCACACTGCGTGCTTTTTGCACCATTAAAGCACTGAAGATTGCATCACTAACCTACTGTCTATAGAAAGCATTGCAAAGCTCGAATGTATAGTTAAACCCCTTTATAAGAGGCATGCTTCGGGAAGCATTTCTTGTCCCTTATATGAGATGTCTCTTATAAGTACCGTATTTACTTCGCATAATCCTCGCACTTTGTTTGGCGGAAAACCGATGCAAAGTTGGGGGGTGCTAGAATTACGCGGGGAAAAACTTTCCACTGAAACGTACGGTGGAAAAAAAAATTGACGTGGCCGCAAATCAGGATTTTCACACCAGCAACTAACAGCAAGCTTTGAGAAGTACTAATTAAAACTCACCTCAACAATAAAAGCACAAGTTCAACACAAGGCAAGATTTATTTGAGACACAAAAAGTGCAAGCGAATAGTCGAGAATGAGAATACCATATGCAAAGCTTGTGGGCATCGCGGGCGTAGCAGTAGCGTTCGTTGCTTAACAGGAGCCCTCAAAAGGTAAGCGGAGGATGCCAGTATTGTGCTGATAACTATTTAACAGAATCGTCACCAGTTTCCTTCTGAAGAAATAAAGTTCACCATCAATCCCAGTTTTAGGCACACGGCAGGCCCAACGCATCTTGGTGGCTTTCAGCTGTCATCACCAGCAGCGAACACAAAACTCATATGCTTCGAAAGGCCTACCAGCAGCCCTGTTGCCGTTGCTTAGATTATGATCTATCACTTTCAACTTTAAAGCAGACACGTAGCTTCAGTATCACCCATAACGTGACAAGATTACCGACACAACATACAAATCACGCCGCAACACGCACTTGCCACTTTGGCTTGGCTTGGATTGAATTAAACCTCCGTGCAATAATAGTACACTTGAAGTTTAAAAGATGGCGCGCGCTATCGTCATCAGTGGCTGGAACGAGCAGACGACATTAATGTGGCAGTTGTTGGGGGTGCGATAGCTACTCGAGGAAAAAAAAATCGTATTTTTGTTGGGCGATGTGAGGGGTGCGAGAATTATGCGAGTGCGAAGATTGCGCGAGTAAATACGGTAGGGTACCTCGTATGGACTTTCTTATCGATCCGTATTTTACCGTTGGCACACTGGTGTCTTTTATCATCATCTGTCTTTCATATCAGCGTCTCTTATAAAGGGGTTCGACTGCATATGCTTTGGGGCTTCATTGGCAGCATAGCTTGCTTAGGGCTCTTTGCTACGTATTTGCGCCAGAACTTCATGTTTCGCAAGAAAGTCGTATCTATATTCTAATGGAGAGCCTGGTTTGTTCACTGATGCACAAAACAAGCAAGGTCACAATGTTTCTTTTTTCCTGCATGTTATCAATCAGGCTAGTACATTCGAATGAGGGGTGGCAGTTTGTCATCGGTTAACTCTTCTTCAGGTGGTTCACTTGACATCCACTTCGTGGCGTAACTGCCTAGGGTATGGGCATTGCAGTTACTGTGGCTTGCAAGACCGCCTTCTCAGTGTGCAGATTCAACCTAGTTCATCATATTAGTCTTCACACTAGGAATGCGTTGTGGTGACGGCTGATTTTTGCTAAATCTCACATTTGAATACACATCGACCGCTTTAGTCAACCTGTGCTTGCCTGCCATTTCGTTGCTTTCAGTCATGTCTGCATTTCAAACTATGTACCGTACTTCAATGAATTGGAAGATAATTGTAATGCTATTATAAGTTGTGGCACCGACTTTGAACATCGATATAATGTAATGAATGTGAAAATATTTCCAGATATGTCATGAGAGAATCACTGACACACATGTATACTTATGCATAGAGAGACAGACAGGCACCGTCCTTTCGTCCTTTTGTGCATACCTGTGTACATGCTGCCTGATTGCACATGATAAATCTCATAGTATATAAGAAATGACCAGCACTTCACCTCCATTTCATGCATCCTTCTTATTTGTGTTCTTACATGTGTTATGTGGTATGGGCATCAGGCTTACACACAAGCATATGTGCATGAGCATGTAACACGTAACACCATGTTGTCAAAGCGTGTGCCAGGTTCGTGAAGGAAGATGCTGCTTAATTGATTTCCTCTTAGCGCTGTTTTATCAGGCATATTGAAATATCCCGCTGGGGCTCCTCAATGATAGTATTAATTCCTTTATTTTTGTTCATTATTGTTTAAAGGTGGAGGGCAAACTCTGCCTGACTGGTCATGCAAACATTTCTTTAATATTTTCAGAATGGACCATTGACTGTTTGAGACTTTGTGAGGAGCACAGCGGCATTGGGGTTGTCGGAATTGATGTGGCAAAGGATGAAGTGCAGACTCCTGGCTATACAACTGTTGAGGCACAGGTCTATCAGGCATGTCACTAGAGCTTCTTTTTTTTTCCTCTATGGGCAACGACTGAGCAGTGCACACTGTTTTTCTTTTTTCATCTTGTGCACATAACCAGGGTTTTCCTCACGAAATTTTCAGGCGTGGATATTTTAAGAAGACAGGGGATTGGGGTATGAGATATTAAGTGTAGGTGTGTTGAGTCTTTTAATGTCCTTTTTATTAAATGCATCCACATTTAATTTCTGATAATGTCTTTCCGGCATCCATGAAGAACCAAGCAAGCAGAAAAAAAGGCTGCTGTTTGTGTTATAGAGCTAGCACTGGAGTTCGCAATCTTTGAATCGTCAAGGCCAGCTGTTGAGATTCCTTTTTATATAACAAGGTGGTGGGAGGCATGGCTTGCCAGTGTTGATGTGCGCAGTTGATATTGATTGGTTCTCAGGCATGCATTTCAAATGGGTGAAAGAGAGTGTAGGCTGGCACTTCAACTGCCACTCACTGAGGGGAGAACAATGTACATAAATTGTCTCATTGATAAGCATTGGCTGCTGACCCGAAGGTTGTGGGTTTGATCCCAGCAGTGGTGGTCGCATTTCGATGGAGGCGAAATGGAAGAGGGCCATGCACTGTGCGATGTCAGTGCACATTAAAGAACACCAGGTGGTCAAAATTTCTGGAGCCCTTCAATATAGTGTGTCTGATAATACTTCTGGTCAAGCTTTGGAAGGTATTCTGCAGTTGGGTGCGAAACTCTGGCCAGGTTCCGTAGTGGCTTCATGGCTTTCGAACCAAGTGCGCATATAGTGCTCTTGGTAAAAGTAGACATACTGAAGCTTTCGGTGCTCTTCCATTCATTGACACTAGCGCAACGGTTGTAGTCATCAAACCAGTCATCAACGTCCTCATAAGGGTCGCCGTGAAAGGGCTTTGGGGTTCTCGGAGCGTTGAAAAACCATGGGGGAGGCAGCGTCGATGTCTCTTGAGTATGTTTCTGCACTGGCCATACGTCTGTCTAGTTGGGGAAGGGGGCCGAATTCAGATGTTAGGCCTAGTTGCCGCTAGCTACGCCATTAAGTCAGCTGGTTCTTCCAATGTGTCACTATTGCCGGGATCTTCCTGCTGATTGCAGTGGAAACAACACTACCCCACACCTCCACCAGCAAATGTCGCATGATTCTTCATAGCACAACCTCTGTCCACAGGAGCACTGGATGTCGAGCCGAACTATGTTGTTGTTGTTGTTTCCCTGTGCAAATGGCTCGTACCCAAAGGAGGGGATTGGCTGATTATAAGGGGAATTCGCCCTATACTTTCAGCATTGCGTCATTCCTACAAAACTTTTCTAATTTATTTTGATTTGAAATGCCGATATCAAGTTTGCAGAAAAAAAATAAAGAAAAAATAGTGAGACCGTAATTTAGCAAGAAAATCATTTTGTCGCAGTGATGTATTCTTGAACGGCGAATAAAACATCCCTGTGGCTGAAACCCAGTGTAGAGGCTCCGAATGAAAGATCAGGTTGTGATAATTGCAAGCCCAGTCTTTGAGGAGGTGGTGCTAGTATGCTTTGCCTGAATAAATCGAAACGGCGACTATGTAATGACTGATCGTTTCCTCTTGATTACAGTAAATGCACATAGGGGAATTCAATATACCTGATCTATGTAAGTAAAAAATGAGGGAGGTAACGCGGCAACGAAATTTCGTGATGACAACTTCCATCATCCTTGAATCGGACAGTTCACTGCACCAGGGAAATAACAAGTGGTTGTACTCCGAGAAGCCATCAGTGCAGGGTCTGATAAATTTTGCCTGATTTTAAGTGTGCGAAATCGCGCCACTGTAATGTGTACTGTATGAGGGAAAATAGGAGTGATGGGGGTCGAAAGCGATGCCTTCACAAGAGAATCAGCTACTTCGTTTAACAACAAACCTTTGTGCCCTGGTGCCCAGAAAAAATGAATACTTCAGAGATGACAGGGAACCAATGATTTAAAGAGTTTCAGTATGGGTGAGCGACCTGATGCGGACAGAGAAGAGCACACTGATAATGAATCAGTTATGACTGCTATGACTGGAATGGAGATATTTACCTTTCGCAAAGCTAACATTGCCATAAATTCAGCCAGAAAGACAGTAAGAAAATCTGGTAAGCGAAGTGAAAATGACCAATCAAGTACGGGGCAATATATTCCAACGCCTGATTTTTCATCTGATTGAGATGCGTCTGTTGCTATAATGACATTTGTTGGCAGAGTACTTAAATTGTCCTCCAATAAACCATTTAAAATGCCTGTAGGTAATAGATTAGTGTGAGTTGGGAAGATATCATGGTAAACAATTTCTGGAGAAATTTGTGGCTCAGTTAAACGATTCAGATCACGAACTTGTACATTTAGAGGCTCAAGTAACGATTGAACGAATACTATTTGTGGTTTGTGAAATCTGGGCCAATGTACGGAGAATAGGTCAGGATAGGAAAGAAAAATAATTTGTTCAGGGTTAAACGGTGCTTCGTATAGTCGCAAAAAGGTCTGCACAGTAAGAATGTTAAAGCGACATAATAAGGTTGGTATTCGTGCTTCAAGGTATAACACTGCATTTGCAGTATACTTTGGAAGTCCTAAGCAGAGCCGTAAAACCTCTTTCTAATAGAACGAGTCGCCGAAGTTTTTAGGCTGGCGCACCAGAAAAAAGAACGCAGCCAAACTCTAACACAGGTCGGACATACATTTTACATATAATCAAAAATGCCTTCTTCTCATACCTGATTTACAATTGCTCAACCTCCGCAATACACCCATCACGTGTACTGCTTTTGTCGCGATGTATTCAATGTGAGGGCGCCAATTTAGATGTTCATTATACGAACTAGTCACCAGAAACATGAGCTTTATTTGTTTGTTTGTTTTCCTATGATATATGGCACATACCCACTTTGGGGGATTGGCCAAGATTGCGAAGTTTAGACTTTGCAATGTTATACGTATTAAGAATGGTAGGCTATTTAAAAAAGAAGAAATGAAACTACTCTTCTTCTTTCTACTACTACTCTTCTTCTTTCTACTAATACTACTCTTCTTCTTTCTCACAATGGCACATGCACGCATTGGCTTGGCCCAATCCATTATAATGGTTTTGAGACGTTAAACCCCAATAATTGTTATTGTATTGAGAAGCATAATATAATTTCAATGACTGGTGAATGGCTGGAATGTGTGATCAGGCCTAGGTGGAAATAGAGAAACCATGAATTTTAGTGACAGAATCGTACGTGCTTTTCACAATCTAACAATAATTTGTATTTTTAATCCTTTTAAAGGCACAAATAGTACATAATGTGACCTGGTGGACAAGCCTTGGTACTGCTGAAAGAAATTGTTAAGGTCGATGTACATAGTCTATTGTTATTTAGAAACATCAGTGTTTGTTCTTAAAATACCAGGTGTAGTGTTAGGCACCCCTACTTCATTCTATGCCCATTATAAGGTAACAGAAGTTCACACTGAGAAGCGGTGCAGCCACCACGGCAGCTTGGGAACTGAAAACTTACGTTAAGTTGTGATGCATGCATGTGGCCCGCAAACATCCACAGTGCACTGCAGCATACGTACGAGAACTACAAGAACACTGGCTCTGTAAACACTATGTTCATCAACAATGCTGGCCTACAGATCTCAAGTGCACTCACCGACCATCATTTGAAGCCTGTGTTAGTATTCTATGATTTATACACTTTGACTCATAAATTTTTACTCTACTAATGAAAACATGTACCATGAAACTTAGTTGTCGGTCCCTTGTGAGGTGCGATTGGCAGGATTGGCATGACTATCAAGATTATCAACCTAGTTTAATGCTTCCTTTTAGAGTTACTAGTGAGATAAAAGTGAGGTGGTCTTTCTTCTTTAGATTTGCCACTTACCTTGTAGATGTATTTTCTTGAGTTTTATTTTTTCTGCCTTGATTCCAGAGAGCAAAGCAGGTGGGTGTACCAAGGACAGCCCATGCTGGTGAGAGCGGCACCTACATGACGGTGCGCGACGCCATCCTCAAGCTCGCCTGCGACCGTGTGGGTCATGGATACCGCATTTTTCAAGATCCAACTGGTGAGACGTACCAGTTGGCTCGCAAGCAGAACATTCATTTCGAAGTCTGTCCCTACTCCAGTGTTCTCTCTGGAGGCTGTCCACTGAGCACCCAGAGGCACTCAATAGTTCGGTGAGTCTCACCATCAACATCTCCATCGTGCTGCGTTGTTGCATCTCTGTGTTCTGTGCCATGGTTTTGTGGTAATGCTTTCACTTTTTATTATGCCTCCACAATACAGTATACTCTCAGTGGCACAGGCACGCCTCATCGGAATTTCATGATACTTATTTTTTGGTAGTCCTTGCAAAGACCCATTACTTAATGTGCTGAAGTACGGCTGTTGCAAACTGGTTACCGTAATTACTCGAATCTAACGCGCACCTTTTTTCCGGTTAAGCGAGTTCATAAATCGCATGCACGTTAGGATCGAGTACGAAAAAAACTGAATATGGTCATTCTATTGCCATCGGCATTCCAAAATGGCCGCCCCCTGCGTGCGTCGGCATGGCGCGTCGGCCATTTCTGCCTATGTGTTTCCCATGTGCGGCACTTCGTACGTGTGCTGAGGAGTTCATCATCTTGGTGCCCATTAGCATCGACGGCATGGATGGGCCAACTCCAAAAACTCGACGAGTGCACCACGATGCCGCTTTTAAAAGAAAAGTCATCGCGTGTGCCGAAACGGACGTAAATCGGGCTGCATTGCAGTCGTTCAGAGTTCCCGAAACGTGCATGCAGGACTGGCGGAAACAAAAGCAGAATATTGTCGACAGCAAAGATTCACGCAAAGGCTTCAGCGGACCACAGGAGGCTCGGTTTCCGCAAATTGAAGAGCTGTTCGGCGAGTATGTGATTGAGCAGTGAGCGGCACAGCGGCCCGTGACGACAGAACTGCTCCAAGTGCAGGCTATGCAGTTAGCCTTAGAAAAAGGGCTAATGCGGAGCCAGTTTAAAGCGAGCAGGTGCTGGCTAACTTAACTTTATGAAGAGGAAAGGCTTTTCCCTCTGAAGGCGAACGGGCATATGCCAAAAGTTGCTGGAGGGGTACGAAGAAAAGCTTCAGTTTTAAGATGTTCGTCCTAAACTTGCGGCACAACAATGGCTCTCTGCTTGGGCAAATCGGGAATGCCGATCAGACGCCTCATTACTTTGACATGCGTGGAACCACAACCGTCGAGAAGAAGGGGGTGAAGCAAGTTCGCGTGCTGACATCGGGTCACGGTAAAACTAGAGTGACGACAATGATCCGTTGCACGTCAGATAGGCAGGAGCTTCCCCCGTGCCTCATATTTAAACGCAAGACGCTCCCGAAAGGAGTCTTTTTCCCGAGTGGTGTGATTGTGTGGTTGATTGATTGATATGTAGGGTTTAATGTCCCATAACCACCATATGATTATGAGAGACGCCGTAGTGGAGGGCTACGGAATTTTCGACCACCTGGGGTTCTTTAACGTGCACCCAAATCTGAGCACACGGGCCTACGACATTTCTGCCTCCATCGGAAATGCAGCCACCGCAGCCGGGATTTGAACCCGGGACCTGCGGGTCAGTAGCCGAGTACCTTAGCCACTAGACCACCGCGGCGGGGCATGTGATCGTGTTGGCCGACGAGAAAAATGGGTGCGCGTTGCAATCGATGTCTTACTTTTTTTTTTTTTTTTTGTGGAAACCGGGTGCGCGTTACAATCGAGGGCGCAGTAGAATCGAGTAAATACGGTATCACCCCGCTGTGTTTGATACAGCCTGCTGTGTTGCCACTTTGGTTTCGTGGCTTTACACAGGTGTTGGGCAGGAATGTGTGTCGAAATTGGCAAGGGGCTGCAAGATTTTGCAAGACACAGCACAAAGCGTTTAAACATGAGTACTGGTGTGATTACTGATTGTGCAGTAGGCATATAGTAGCATACTAATATGGCACAGTCGTTTCCCATGTTTTTCATTGTTATGAATTTCAACTGACAGGAATATTGTGAGGAACTGGTTTATTCAGCCAGGCTCGATGTAAGTCATGCTGGTGATGATATTTGCAGATGAAGAAGATGTACAGGTGATGATGATATCAAACAGAATAAAGAGTCATTCGCTTGTCGCGCTTACACTAATTCTCCCGCGCGGTGAAAGCGGCCGCCTGGTCGCTTGACAGTATTATGAAATGCGTCGCGCATAAGGCTTTAAAGCTTTAAACGAGATACGTGCACTATCTCTGTTCCTCGGCAACGATGATCAGGATTAGCGCTAAGAGGAGAAACGCGGTAATTGACAGGAGATGTCTGTTCAACCACCGTGTACGGCCCAATGAAGCGACTGATGAATTTGTCGCATAGGCCGGGGACGCGTAGTGGAGTCCATAGAAGAACTTCGTCACCAGGGGAAAAACTCAACTCGGCGAGATGAGTCGTAGCGAGATTTTCGAATGTCTTGAGAGAGGCCGGTGTTAACACGGGCCTGGTGACGGCAGTGTGCGAGACGAGATAGAAATTCTTCAGAGAAAGGAGCCGTCGAGGGTACAGGGGCCGAAAGGAAAGAGACATCCAGAGCGAAACTCTGCGAGCGGCCATGGACGAGAAAAAATGGAGAAAAGCCGGTAGTGCGTTGAGCAGCCGTATTATAGGCAAATGTCACGAAGGGTAGAATTGCATCCCAGTTCGTGTGGTTGGGGTGAATGTACATGGCGATCATGTCCGATAGGGTCCGATGAAACCGTTCAGTCAATCCGCTGGTCTGCGGGTGGTAGCTAGAAGTGGTCTTATGAACAGTGTTCGAGGCACGCAAAACTTGCTCGTCAATGGAAGAGAGGAAGACTTTGCCACGACCACTCTGGAGAATGCGTGGAGCTCCATGAGGCAAAAAGATGTGGCGAAGAAAGAAATCGGCGATCTCAGTGGCAGTCCCAGATGGTATAGAAGCTGTTTCTGCGTAGCGGGTAAGGTGGTCGACGTCCGTGACAGTCCAGTGATTCCCATTGGATGATATAGGAAGAGGGCCATACAAGTCTATTCCAACGACTTCAAAAGGCAAGGCGGGACAAGGAAGAGGTTGCATTAAGCCAGCCGGAGCAGTTGTCGGTCGTTTTTGCCGTTGACAATGGACACAGAAGTTGACGTACTTAGCGACGGCTGAAGAGAGGCCAGGCCAAAAGCAATGACTTCGTATTTTGTCGTAAGTCTTGTGATAGCCTAGATGAGCGGCGGTTGGATCATCATGAAAGGCTTCCAGAACTTCACGTTACAGAGAACGTGGGATGACGGGTACCCACTTGTTGCCATCGATGTGGTAAATATAGCGACATAAAGCATCACCGACAAGCTTAAATTGTTTAAGTTGTCGACGGAGTCTGGCGTTTGGAGGAGTAGTAGAGCCGGTCAAGCGGTCAACAATGGTGCGGCAGTATGGGCCGACACGTTGTTGTGAAACAAGGACGGATAGGGTGGCAGGTGATGAATTTAGCGCTGCGATTGGAGAGGTGCTGTCGTTTTGGAGTATCGATGGTGAGTGGCTTCCGCTGGGCAAAGGACAGCGCGATAGAGCATCAGCACCTTGATGCTTCTTCCCAGATCTGTAGGCGACATAGAAATCATACTCCTGCAAGCAAAGCGCCCAGCGACCGAGGCGACCCGATAAGTTTTTCAGCGATAAAAGCCAGCATAGGGCCAGCATAGGTCGGTCACAACGGTAAAATGACAGCCGTGAAGATATGGTCGGAATCTTTGCACTGCCCAAACAACAGCAACACACTCCTGCTCGGTGATAGTGTAGTTCTTTTCTGCGCGATAAGAGCACGACTTGCGTAAGCAACGACGCGTTCGCGTGAATCTTTGTCACGCTACAAGAGTACCGCACCAAGACCATGACTACTTGCGTCGGTGTGAAGGATGGTGGGTGCGGTGGAATCGAAGTGGCACAGTACCGGATCCGACGTGAGGGCTTGCTTCGATGCCGTGAAAGCGCTTTCGCAGTCTTCGGACCAAATGAAGGGGACGTTCCTTGCGAGGAGTTGATGGAGCGGAGACGCAAGTTCCGCGAAGCCACATATGAAGCGCCGGAAGTAAGAAGATAACCCAAGAAAGCTGCGCAGGTCCATTTGACGTACGGGACGAGGAAAATCGAGGACAGCGGCAAGCTTTTCGGGGTCGGACCGAATTCCTCCTTTGCTGACAAGGTGGCCGAGAACCTTGATTGTCTTGCTAGCAAAGGTACATTTCTTGGTGTTAAGCTGTAGACCGGCTTTTGCAAGGCATGTGAGGACTTTGTCAAGACGTTGTAGACGCTGCGAGAACGTGGATGAAAACACTACTATGTCATCGAGATAGCACAGACATGTTTTCCATTTCAAACCACGGAATACGCCATCTATCATGCGTTCGAAGGTGGTGGGCGCATTACAGAGTCTAAAAGGCATCACATTGAACTCGTACAACCCATCTGGCGTTGAAAAGGCAGTCTTCTCTTTATCAGACCCCGACATTGGTATCTGCCAGTAGCCTGACCTAAGGTCGAGGCTAGAAAAATACTCTGTGCCCTGTAATGAATCCAGTGCATCGTCGATCCAAGGGAGGGGATAAACATCTTTGCACGTTATTTTGTTTAGCGCATAGTAATCGACGCAGAAACGCACTGTCCCATCTTTCTTTTGAACGAGAACAACTGGGGATGACCAGGGACTCGAGGAAGGACGTATGATGTTGCGTTGTAGCATGTCTGAGACGTTTTCCTCGATCTTGCGTTCTGCCTGAGACACGCGGTATGCATGCTGATGTACAATACGAGAGCCGCCAGTCTGGATGCTGTGGGTAGCGGTGGTCGTCATGCTGAGGGCGGGCGAGTTCACGTCAAGTAGAGAACAGTGTCTGTTTAACAGGGCGAGCAAATCTTCAGTTTGATCAGGTGTTAAGTCAGTGCTTATTGTTGCAAACACTGGTGTGGCAGAGGCATTGAATGGCAGTGATTGTGACTTCGGAACATCATTGTGGTTGTTGTTCGGAAGAGTAACAATCGCAACAGGCTCACTGTCGACAGCGCAAGATACTGTTGAGCCACAGGGGAGCAGTACACACTCGGGCATTTGATTTATGCCGGTTAGGTACATGGACCCATCGAAGAAGCGAATAAGTCCTGGTGTGATCACAATGCCCCTACATAGGGTATGACCGTAAGGGAGTACGTCACCATCCACAATGTCGGTGCAATTAACACTTATAATTTCTTTGATGTATGGCCGAAGTACATAATCTGACGTGGTGACAAGGCGGATGCGTCCATCGTGTTCAAGCGGAGAAGAGTCAGTGGCATTTAGATGCAGGAGGCGCTGATGACAAGATATGAAAGCGGAGGCAGAAGACAAGAAATCCCACCCAAGAATGAGAGCGTGGGTGCACTCATGAAACACCGCAAAAACAATGTGATGACGAATGCCTTCTATGCAGACACGAACGGTACACTGTGCAAGTGGACGAATGAGAGCGTTCGTCGCCGCACGTAGAGGTGGGCCGCCATAAGGTGTGGTGACTTTTCCAAGGCGGGAACAAAATTCAGCACGAATAATCGAAACGGCAGCGCCAGTGTCCACAAGAGCCTCAACGCGTACACCTTCTACAAACACTACTATCAAATACGATGGCCGCTCTGGAGGAATTGTTAGCTGTCCCGTGGATGCAGTTTCCCCTCCTAAAACTGCATTGGGGAGTTTTCCGCTTGGGCGTTCGTGGAATGGGAGGCGGGCCGCAGAGGCGACACTGAACGGCGACCTGGCGAAGGTGACCTGCGGCGAGACGTACGGGAATTGCCAGGCATGTCAGTATGGTAGGTAGGAGACGGTGAACGGTAATAGGATGATCGGGAGGGTGGTCGTAGGTAGTTCATGATCGGACAGAAGCTTCGATGTTCTCCGGGAATGTAGCCGCGTTGCTCGTCTTGTTGGCGTCTTCGACAAAACCGAGCGATATGTCCTCGATAGCCGCAGTAGTAACAGATTGGTCGAGGTGGGCGCTGAGGTGCATAGTAAGGTGGTGCACGCACTGGCGGTGATAACGAAGCCACAGACGTATGGTCTGCTGTTGTAGGCACAGAAACGGTGGTGCAGCAGAGAGCGCGGTCAACTTCGGCGTACGTGCGCGTCTGGCCCACGCAGGGACCGTTGGAACACGTCGCACGCGATGCGGAGGCGATCTCTTGTTTAATCAGATCTCGCAAGCTATCTTTTTCAAAAAGGAAAGCAACTTCCGCAGCACAGGAAGAACAGCGCCCGTGAAGCTCTTCACGAACAATGTCGCGAATAAGCGCACGCAAGTCGAGGGGTGCAGGCAAACGAATGTCGGTGGCATCGTAGCAAAGGCGAAGAGACTGAAGCTCGTCGAGTCGCTGACAGATGGTTATCACGTCCTGGGTGGTGGCAGGATTTTGCGTGGCGAGTGCGTTAAAGGCGACGGTGTTAATGCCTTTAATAATGTGGCGTATTTGGTCGTTCCGAGACATGCCAATGTTAACGCGCTTGCGCAGTGCAAGGAAATCCTCAATATAAGAGGTGTAAGATTCACTCGGCTGCTGCGTGCGTTCAGCGAGCTTCTCCTTTGCTGCCTCAGTGCGAACTGTAGGGGCACCAAATATCTGACGAATTTGTGCTTGAAAGTGTCCCAGTCGGGAATATCCGGGTGGTGGTTCCAGAACCAAGTTTTCGCAACATCGGACAAGTAAAATGGGACGCTGCGCAACTTCTGTGGATTGTCCCACCTGTTCAAATCGCTGACGAGGTCATAGTTCTTGATCCAGTCTTCGACATCATCGCCTCGGAGACCGGAAAACACAGGTGGATCACGCAGGCGAGTGTTGTGGGGCGGAGCGAGTGGCGGTGGCTGCAGTAGGACGGCGACGTTGGATGGGCCAGGGTTTTCTTGGGCCGCCATGGCAGGGGGTTGTATGCGACGACCCGAGCGGAGCTCCAGCGAGAACAGGCCAGAGGACTTGAGGGAACGAAAAGCACCGTTCGTCACTTGTGAGGAACCGGTTTATTCAGCCAGGCTCGAGCTAAGTCACGCTGGTGATGACATTTACAGATGAAGAAAATGTACAGGTGATGATAATATCAAACAGAATAAAGAGTCATTCGCTTGTCGCACTCACAATATTTTTTGACTCTGTGAGATTTGTACGGTCTATATTCTACGGTAACTGTTGATGGCTGGCAGATCTTAAAGGACTCCTGACAGCAAAAGTTTTGTTTGCAAGTTAATTATAGTAACTTGTAGCTTTGCATCTGGTAATGCCAAAATTATATCGTAACTACTCTAACGCATCTTATGATTGATGCTAGCGGCATTAAATCAGAACGATTTTTCGCTATTTCGTAACACCTGTCTAAATCTTGTAAGTGAATAGCACCCCATATTGCATCAGTCGCAGGTGGCTTGATCAAATCGCGGCTGTGGCGGCTGCATTTTTGATGGAGGTGGAAATGTTGTAGGCCTGTGTACTCAGATTTGGGTGCATGCTAAAGAACCCCAGGTGGGTGAAATTTTCAGTCCTCCACTACGGCGTCTCTCATAATGATATGGTGGTTTCGGGACTTTAAACCCCATATATCAATCAACAGTGGAGCAGCGCTTGAGACTAAGTGCGTTCAAGCTTTGGTGACTCTGGAACACGCTGTTTTCAGAGAGGGGAACTTGCGTGCAGTGAAGAATAAAACGATGTGGGTGATTTGAGCGTGTCCCCCTCAGAAATATATTCCCGGCGTAAGCAGCCAGAACCATCTTGAGAGCAGCCCAACAACAGAGCGAGAGGGGTGACGAACAATAGTCTCTGCCAAGTGCCAGTCGGGGCATTGTGCATGCCCCGCAGATGTTGATTTTTGCAACGTCAAAACCACAGAAAATGTCGATTGCACCTGAATATTCGGAAGAACATGCACCCTTAATTTAAAACCAAATTAAAATATTTTCTTGTTCACGCTCGCCACTAAACCGAGTTGGTACCGCCATCGCCTCTAGGATGAGCAGGATAGAGGACTCGCCTTGAAGTTGCGCGAGTAAAGCAAGTACCGTAATTACTCGAATCTAACGCGCACCTTTTTTCCGGTTAAGCGAGTTCATGAATCGCATGCGCGTTAGAATCGAGTACGAAAAAAAAAATTACGGTCAATCTATTGCCATCGGCAAATCCAAAATGGCCGCCCCATACGTGCGTCGGCATGGCGCGTCGGCCATTTCTGCCTATGTGTTTCCCATGTGCGGCACTTCGTACGTGTGCTGAGGAGTTCGTCATCTAGTAGTGCATTAGAATCGACGGCGTGGAAGGGCCGACTCCCAAAACTTGAGTGCACCACGATGCCGCTTTTAAAAGAAAAATCATCGCGTGTGCAGAAACGGAGGGAAATCGGGCCGCATCGCGGTCGGTCGGAGTTCCCGAAACGTGCGTGCGGGACCGGCGGAAACAAAAGCAGAAGATTGTCGACAGCAAAACTTCACGCAAAGGCTTCTGTGGACCACACCAGGGTCGGTTTCCGCACATTAAATAGCTGCTCGGCGAGTATGTGCTTGAGCAGCGAGCCGCACAGCGGCCCGTGACGACAGAACTGCTCCAAGTGCGGGCTATGCAATTAGTCTTAGAAAAAGGTCTAATGCGGAGCCAGTTTAAAGCGAGCAGGTGCTGGCTAACTAACTTTATGAAGAGGAAAGGCTTTTTCCTCCGAAGGGGAACATGCATATGCGAAAAGTTTTGCGGAGGAGTACGATAAAAAGCTTCACAGTTTTCAGAGGTTCGTCCTAAACTTGCGGCGCAACAACGGCTACCTGCTTGGGCAAATCGGGAATGCCGATCAGACGCCTCTTTACTTCGACATGCCTGGCACCACAACCGTCGAGAAGAAGGGGGTGAAGCAAGTTCGCGTGCTGACATCGGTCCTCGGTAAAACTACAGTGACGGCAATGCTCTGTTACACGTCAGATGAGCACGAGCTTCGCATAAATCGATCAGAGGCGGCCCTGCATGCTGTACTATCAAACAGAGCAAGCATATCGAGTTTCCAAATTTGGGGTTCGGGGTCCTTTAAGAAAAACATCAATGAAGAATGATGCCAACACAGCAACACGAGAAGCACGGGAATTGTAGGAAGAAATATTCAGTGTAACCAAGCGTATAAAATCAGGCTTTTTTCTTACTTTTCAGTGGTTTATCTGAAATTTCCCATTACAAAAATTACTTACTCGATATGTTTGTGGTACTTGATTGTTCTGCATGGGCACTTCTGATTCATTAGATTGATTATTAGTTGTGAATATTGTCTTGGAATATTTCAGTTTGGTGTTACAGTTAACAATGGTAAACCGAGTTGGTACCGCCATCGCCTCTAGGATGAGCAGGATAGAGGACTCGCCTTGAAGTTGCGCGAGTAAAGCAAGTATTGGCAGCACCACAGACACTTTTCATGACTCGTAAAATAGCAGAACTGGTTCACAACAGGGTGTATCGTTTCTCAATCCTCTTGCCCTGTTCCGCTTTGTTATGATGTTCCAAGAAATTTGTGACATTTCCGGAGCCCTCCACCACGGCATCTCCCATAATCATATAGTGGTTTTGGGAAGTTAAAACCCACATATCAATCTAATAAATCCCAAAAATAGGATAATTACTTTCAGACTGATTATTAATCAAACTGTGCAGGAGCTGATGAAGGAGGTAATACATCTTTCATCTCTGTCTTGTTGCCCACAGATGGATCATGAGCTCTGTGCTTTTTCATTGTTTTTAAGACTCAGAGTTTTGTTCTGTGGGTAATTAGCATTACTTAGCAGCTTGCTCCAACTTACACTTTGTTTCTGTTTTACAATGGATATTCCATGTCAATATGTGGCATTGTAGTTGCAAGCACGAATGTGCAGTATGTTGCTAAAGTCAATTTCTTTGTCCAGAGCTTGTCACTTACGATTCGCCAATACTTCTGGTCTTCTCCGTACTTACGGTTCTCCTGACGATAGTTCAGCAAGGTATTAATTATCGAGAGGGGGTGCTCCATTCACTTTTTGTTAAGGACCTCAGCAATTCATATCCTTTCTAGAGGTTTATTGTTGCCATCACTGTGTGCTTAAATTTGCCTACTCTTGTTTTCAGCTTTGCTGAGGATAATGTTAACTTCTCCATCAACAAGGATGACAGCACAATCACGGGAAGCACACTGGATGACGAGTATGCGTTTCTTAAACAACTCGGTCTGACTGAAGCCCACTTGATAAGAGCGGTGAGTTTGTCATTCCTTTCCTTCCCTTTGATGGGAATGAAAATTTTGTACTTGATAAAAACTTGTATATTGATTGCTCTTATTTCTTATTCTATCCAGAATATAAATGCTGCACGATCGTGTTTCCTGCCTCATACGGAAAAGGAAGATCTCCTTCAGCATCTCTTCAGGGAATACGGAATTTCATCTAAGACAGTGGCTTGAATGCAATAAAGTGTCTGTTTAACTCGTTTGCCATTCAATATTAAATGTCATCACGATGTGAAAGAGTAGTTAAGTACAGTAGCCGTAGCTTGAGAAATATTGGAAATGCGATACTGTTGCATATGATCAACATTTTCAGAAGGATGACGGAGAACACATAGCTGCTGCACTTCTAGTTGCCACCAACTGTAACAGAAAATAGTCTGCGAAAATTCTTGCACAGGGTTCATTATACAAATGATTACGTATATTGCTACCCATTGATTTGAGAAAAAGGAATAGAAAGAGCTCATACCATGTCAGAGCTTTGCTCGCAAGTGTATTTGGTCACTGTATCTCTTAAAATGGATCTCAAGACCTGTTAAAAATTAGAAGGTAATGTTATTCTTGAATAATTTTGGAAACAGTGCACTTCCGTAATGTATACTGGTGCTAAATTAATTGCACAAGTCCTGTGCTTAAAGGCCTTCAGTGGCATTTATTGAAGTGCCATTCATAAGAAAATTGTGTCTTCATTGCAAGGAAGATTACTTATAACTTGCATCTCTTAAGCAGCTGGCTGTTATTGACATTCACACATGCATATGCACACCAAAGACATTGAATTGAGATGTATTACCAAAGACTGGCTGCTTCTAGTCTTGATTGCATATTAACCTCAACATCGAGGCTCCCTTATTAAACTAGGCAAAGAGTATTTGTATGATGACTACAGAGTGTGAGCACTTCAACCTAATTCAACTCCAGACTGCTAAGTCTAAAGCGAGCTATTCATTAGTGTGTAATATGTGACTTTTTTACAATGAGCATACTTATATTTCCTCACCCTACATCTTACTTTAGGGCATGATTTGTTTGTTTTCAAACATTCATTATTCACAATTGCCTGAGCAAGGCACTTGTCCCCATACTATGTCCAAGAAAAATTGATAGGTTGACAGTGATTATCCTAGTCCTTGTCATCTTTTTGCCGGTGGGCTCAGTTGTGTTGATGAACATGGAAATTCGCAAATTTGATGCCTTGGTGCGTAGTCGGTTGCGTAAGCCTATCAGCGGTCGTAGTTGCACCAGGCGAGTCTAAACTTGCACAGCAAGGAAATCAAACTAGAAGCACACAAAGTTTTTTGGTTCCACAGTCCTTGTGTTATGGTTGCAGGCATTTTGCATCAGTCTTTAGAAGTCCATTCACTACTGTTGGTCCCGAAGTAAGTTGTGGATTTTTTTTTCGTTTTAGTCGTCCACTTCTGCTGTCTGCAAAGACAGAAACGTATACATTTTATTATCACCTCACCAGTGTGAATTCATAAAACAAGTTTCCGGAAACATATTTAGGTGCTTGATTTTGCTACAGCATTAAGTTTACTTAGGAAAAATAAGAACTGGTTTTGTAATGCAACATAGTTCCAGATACATTGTTGATGGAGATTGTGCTCTGCGGCGGCTGCCTACAGGAACATCATCAACCAACAGCCAATGAAAAGGCATTGGCTTTTGTAGTCGTCTATTTGCAAACAAAACAACTAGTTATGGCCGCTGGACAAGCGCTGCAAGATACTGTAGGCAGCCATTCTAGAGAGCAGGTCATGCAATCGTGTGTTTCCTTTCATGAAGAACGACAGTTTGCAGGCCCAAATCAAGGAGCCTAAGCAGCAGGCTTGTAGTCAGGGCGGGGGAGGAGCCTGGGGGCTGAGGCACCCCCCCCCCCCCATAATTCCAATAAAGGGGGGTGTTTTATGGAGAAAAAAAATGATAAAAATAGCTGTTTAGAAATAGCCGAGAGGCCTCTGTGAAGAAATGTGAACAAAGGAGTTAAATGCAATAAATTTTATTTCAAAGCTGCAGGGGCCAGATAGTATCAGATAAGTTATACAGTTTTCATTAAAGAGATCCAGGGTTTGTACACAGGTTGACTAGGGTCAGACTTGTCGCATGTACCAAGTATTTCTGTGGCATAGTTCAGCTTGTAACACCATTATAAGGAGACCATGAGCTGTTGAGTCAGTTTTTGAGCAGCGAGTTTATCACGCCTCAGCCTAAAGCCTGCGCAATGCTGAACAATTGATTATACAGGATTCTAAGATTTCATTACTTATGAGAACTTATAAGAAACAGTGCACTTCCGTAATGTATAGTGGTGCTAAATTAATTGCACATGTCCTGTGCTTAAAGGACTTCAGTGCCAATTATTGAAGTGCCATTCATAAGAAAATTGTGTCTTCATTGCAAGGAAGATTACTTATAACTTGCATCTCTTAAGCAGCTGGCTGTTATTGACATTCACACATGCATATGCACGCCAAAGACATTGAATTGAGATGTATTACCAAAGAGTGGCTGCTTCTAGTCTTGATTGCATATTAACCTCAACATCGAGACTGCTTCATTAAACTAGGCAAAGAGTATTTGTATGATGACTACAGAGTGTGAGCACTTCAACCTAATTCAACTCCAGACTGCTAAGTCTATTTGATTCATAGTAATTCTGTGTGCCCATGCGATTCAATTAGTCTGAGTAATTTGCATGGTGATTCTACTAACATGAGCAAGCCATCTAGTGTCTGTTTCGATAAAACCACTGACTTGATGAAACTTGCTTGAAACTCTTTTGGTGAATATTGGTCGTAAGGAGCTTGGTGTGACCTGTTTCAGATGAGTTTAAATGTGGGCAGACAGGCTTGGGTCAGGTCTTTCTTAGCCTGTGTCATGTTGAGCTTAATGATTCTGATTATCTCATAGAAATTTCGTATTTATCGTTCAGCTATGACTTTTATTTTATGCATGGCGATTTATGCCATTCATGCTTTGAGAATTGGCGTGAAAAACATTTTCTTTTGTTTTGTATTTGCTTATACGAATTATTGAGATCTGGCTGCATCTTGATGCTAAAATGCTGCTATCATGTAATCTGGAAGCTGCATATATTTTGAAATCCTGTAATTGGTTGTTAGTATAGTGCCCTGTTTTGTTTTATTGCTAATGCTCAAACTACTCTTCCATCTGCATATAGCAGTATAACCACACTCAAAACCTAGTCACTTAATTTTTCGACATGTTGACTTCTGAATTCTTTTAATTTCCATGTACCTTCTATGGTTAGCTGATCTTGGGACTGTATGAATACTTCGCTCCTCGCCAACACTATATGGAAGACATTCTGCGCACACGAATGCATATAGAGTGCAGCCTGACATTGCGAGCTTTTCTGTTCTATCCCCTAATGATGTCCACGACTGCAGCTATTGCTATGTACATGGTGTACTATTTCGAACCTCGTCGTGTCAGATGACCATGCGCTGCACGTCGTCCCTGCTGATGTGCCTCGTCACTGTCCTCTTATCCGAAGATGTCGCACAGCTGCTTCGCCCACTCCCGGCACTTGGCAGAAAGGTGACGATGCGATGGCCTGGTCCTCCGGACGCAGTCCGATCAATGCGGATGTGCTCGGGGGGCAGGTACTCCTCCTGTTTGTTAGTCAAAAAACGTGGCCAACTGTTTGAACGAAATAGCACCTCAACAATAGTCGCCAAGTGTACAAGTGCCTCTAGAAAATACTGTCTTTTGTGGCAATGGGTGTAAGCCATCAGGCTGAACAGTCATTGTGATAAAGTAATAGGTGTAACAAATGGTTGCTAACCCCTCAACTTTTTTCAAAATCTAGAATGTTCATTTCATAATCTATGTACTTGTCGTACCTATAGCCAAAGCCTAGTTGAGTGTCCGAGAAAAAAAAAATACCTATAGGGATATCCTAGCATAGCAGGAAAAAAAATTTGAAAGATGGTAATTTTGTTAATACACAAAATAGTCAAGATAGTTTCATCTAATCAATAGCAATTAATCAATTAAATTAACAAGCAACATACATTAGAGTACCTAAGAGCAAACTATACGGGTTACATAGACATACAATGAAAAAGATACAGTGCCATTGATCAAGAAGCTACGAAGTACAAAAATCTAGTATATTTCAGTTAGTAAATATGACTATAGATAGCCTGAAAAATATGTACCCTATGAGAATGACAAAAATATGACCACATGTTCCCTAATTACACAACAATATCGTGTGGCAGTAATTGCACAGGAAGAGCAGTAACTATATATGTATACATTTCACAACCTTGTACAATATTAAGAAAGCTGTAATTTACTCTGCCTGCAAGAAAGAAAAAAAATATTGTTTCAGTGTTTTAGGGAAGTTCACAGAATTAATGACTACCATTGGTAGTGTGTTTCAGGTCTTTATGAACTGCAGTATACATTCTCCGTATACTTTGCTATAATAAGGTTTTACTGTATCCAGCCAGTAGGCGAGAAGTCCAGAAACTATAGAACAGCCAAAATTTGGCGTTGGTTGCAGCGGCATATTACAAAATTTGCCTTTTTGCTTCAGAACATAAAAAGTCCCGCCTACACAGTACTACAGAGCACAGACCTAGAGTGTCTGGTGTACCACTTAAGCTTGACATTGCATAACAGAAGCTTTGTACATCGTTTTAATGTTCTGTTTATTTTTTATTATTGTTATTGTCTGGACTCATATTTATAAGTATTGGCAATGTATGTGTGCTGCGGGTGAAAATATGCAATACGTACATTATGCTATAGGAACACTTACCTCAACTTCAAGTGCCTCCATATCGTCGATGGGAACGTCAACCTTTGTGTCCATGCTTTCTTGTATCTCAACAGCACCTCCAGCGTCGGAAAAGAACTGCCTGGCGCGGAAAACGCCTCCACTGTCTGGGGAAAGAACGAATGAGGCTTATTCGTGCAGTTCAATTTGCAATGTATTCGTTACAGGCATTCGGAAGCATCGGCACTGCAGCAAGGCCATTTTAAGTTAAACTAAAATCTGTCTCAATCTTTTTTACTCCAGATTGGCCATTAGCCCTCTGCAATTAGTCGAAATATTTCGGGCCAGGGCCGTTGCCCATTTGTCTGTCATGCGACATAGCGTTAATCTCCAAAAAAAAAAAAGCACGCATGATATACAATAGCCCGGATAGGCGAGAAAACGAATACAGAAAGATGAA